CAATAGAAAGCAGAAGGGGAGGGTTTTTTTAAAAATCAGAATATTCTCGAAATCAATTTTGGGGTGAAAATATCAATTGCGGGGTCATCACCTATGTCCTGTTTATTTTAGTCTTGTGACTAACTCTTAAATACTGGTTATTTATTGTAATTGTGTTCAAAGCTATACATACAAACGAAGCTGAACCCAGATGGCAAAGAGAATACAACGCTATTACAAGCTGGTCGTGTTTTGCTTCTGCATTGCTGCAGGTGAGTAAGCTAAACTTGCTGTAATATGTGAATTTAAGTCTTTAAAACGAATAGCATTGCTAACTGGTAGGTAAACAACTGTCTTTACTCGAAATTATTAAGAACGGCTGCTGGTCTTTCACGGAAATATTAAGTAAGTCATGTATCCAACCTGACTTAGTGTGTGCCAAGCTTTGTCGAGAAATGGTACAGTCTGCATACAGAAATACGCTGTTTAAAGTTAAACGCCATGCCGTGCTATTGAATGGCCGACCACGAGGAAACTTGAAAATTGTCACCGATTTTCAAGCTGATTCCAACCTAAGAGATTGAATTTTTTCGATGAAATTGCCCCTAATGCAACTTATGAATTTTCAAATGTTTAGATATTCCAGTTCGTGGATTGATTTACGATGAAGTTTAAGAAAACAAAAGGTTAGCCTTTGATTGCTAGACATGTCTGAGCAATTTTCATTTTAACTAACTAGTACAACCAACGTTTCATTCAAAATTGATGAATTACCAAACTGAAATTGTGCGAACTTTCTGAAAGCAGCCTACAATGTCGAAACCCTACTCACAACAAAGTTTTCAGTAAATTAAGAACACAGATTTCCTGAAAAGAAACAGAGGCCGAAAACAATATTGGACTAATGCCCGGGGACTAATGCAAAAAGCTGTATCACAACTGCTATAACAGAAACTTCTAGCGCTTGGATGGCTTATTCAGCTTTTAATTGCCAAAAGGATTGCAGCTAGAGTCTAAAAATTTGCTTTTAACAAGAATACACCCGAAGGCGTTAACGCGGGATGTGTTGGTGTGAGCAAGAATTACTGGTATGTTGAATGGCAATAGAAAGTTGAGAAGTGTATCAACAACAAATGTGTGCAGGAGAGACGGAGATGTTGTGTTAAGGACTAATACACTAGAAGGCGAGTTACACACAAGGGTTCCTTTGCTACTAAAAACATAACGTACATCAATAGTACCACCATATATGTTAAGAGTATGGGTAGTTCGGCTAGAATTTGCGTTCCCTTTACTGATGTTGTCCAAAAAATGCACTTCCGCATTCAACAATAGCATGTAATGTATCATACTTCCAATAACTACAGGGCTGCAAGGCTGTGCTCTAGGGAAAATTTCAGGGATTCGGGCTCCCAAGCATTTTAGCTGGGGTGCCCAGGCCTAAAAGATCTAGATGGTCGCCCAAATAAAATCTTCAGGAAGCCCTGCGGTATCCCAAACAAATGATTCCCTAAACAAGTCAAGCAGAATTTTGTGAATATTTTCTTCATGAAAAATCACATCCTTTGACCTCCTGAGGGTGCGAAAAAAACCCCGCAAGTTGTCATATGAAAGCATGGATAATAGATGAAAGTAAGTTTTCGCACCATATGAGAAACATGGGCAACGCAGCCAAATATTTCATGTTTTTCGAATGGAAAAGTAAGATTCTGGTCTGTTTATGTATTTTTTTTAAAAATTTTTTGGGTCAAAAATAAGGACACTATTCTTTTTAATAATCATTTTGATTTAGGTTGAAAAGAAAATTCGCTTTAATAAGATTGACTGAGATCCCGTGGAGCTTTCCGCGAAAACTGCTATGATTTCAACGAAACTGCGGCCGGTTTTTTGAATAGATCATCTTGTTGGAAAGTCGTCGTTCAAGCTCAGAACACAAGTATTTTCTTTCTATATTATTGGTGAAATGTTCAAGACAAATGAGCTTTTTGTGGATGGCTGTACTTTGACCGCTAAATTTAGCTTTTGGGTATTTATTTTCGCTGTGGCTCTACGGCCGGTAACCGGTCAAGGTTTTCAAAACACTAAATGACCGGCAGTCCGGTATTTTCAATAAATTTGACTTATCTAAGAATCCCAACCTATCCAAACTATCCTATGTCGATTAAGAAAAGTTAAGCGATCCCGATCTCAAGTCTAGCGTTTGGTTTACGCTGGGCTCAGAAAACGAAACCATGTTTTGTGACACTTAGAACTTTTTTCAGGTCGACTGCCGGTCAAGGTTTTTAAAACACTAAATGACCGGCAGTCCCATATTCTCAATAAATTTGATAAATCGAAAAAGTCCATCTAATCTAAACTATCATACATCAATTAAGAAAAGTCAAGCGATCCTGAAACACTTTATAGATCTCAAGTTTAGCGTTTGGTTTACGCTGTGCTCAGAAAACGAAACCATGTTTTGTGACACTAGAACTTTTTTCAGGTCGACTGCCGGTCGAAACATGGTTTCGTTTTCTGAGCACAGCGTAAACCAAACGCTAAACTTGAGATCTATAAAGTGTTTCGGGATCGCTTGACTTTCCTTAATCGACGTATGATTGTTTAGATTAGATGGATTTTTTCGATTTGTCAAATTTATTGAGAATATAGAACTGCAGGTCATTTAGTGTTTTGAAAACCTTGACCGGTTAGGGACTGTTCGTTATTTATGCCTAAGGAGGGGCCGGTGTTTAGAGTGGGGGGGTAAAATTTTCAAAGTCACTGAAAAAGGGGGGGTGTTTTTCTAAAATACAAATAAGGGGGAGGGGTAAGCTTTTAGAAACTGTTGTTTCAACACTTGTGTAGCCGTTTTGCAGACATATTTAAAAAGTTGAACTCTGTATCGCGAATTCTATTTTAATACAAAGCGCCTGGTCTTTATAGTTTGAAAAGCCAAGAAAACGTGACGTGGAGTAGCGTTATTTAAAGGTTCCAATATATTAACTTATTAAATCCCTTTACATGCAATCTGATATTTAATAATAGCAAAACTGTCTCCAGTTTCAGAAGTACATCCTCGTGGTTCAATCCTTACAATGAGCTCCTTACAAACTTTCCTACCGTTGACTTCTCTCTTAAATCTGATCTTTTCTGGGCCCACGTTAACACCGGCGCTGCAAATTTGCTTTCCTTATTTAGAGCTTCTATACTGTACGATCACAAATGACCTTGCAATGGATTTTGGTTTGTCGGCAACCGGCCAGAACACGTGTTGTACGCAATTTCGCAATCGGAGGCACGTCGCGTCCTGAGGGGAGGGGGGTGGGGTAGGGGGGTTACATTTTGGGCCTGTCACATAAACGGGGGGGTAATTTTTTAAAATACCCACTTCCGGGGAGGGGTAAATTTTTCATATGCCTGAATT